TCAGAGCCTGGAGCCTGCTTTGGATTCTGTGTCTCCCTTTGTCTCTGCCCCACCCCCACTTGAGCTCTTTGTCTCTCGAAAAGTAATAAACATTAAAAAAAAAATTTTTAATGTAATGTGTCTGTCAGCCACACATGAAATGTGTTAAGTGATGGTCAACTTACAATTGCATTTCCTAGGATTCAGCCATTTGGCACACCACTACAGCAGGGATATTTTGTCATCACAATCCACTGAGCTAATGAATGGAGGGAATACCTCATAGCACTAACTATAGACCCCGTGATGGTGGGGATCATGCCAATTATGTCCACTTAGCACGACGGCCACACCTGCCACACTAAATAATAATAGCTAATGTTGTTATTTACCACTTGCTATGTGCCAGTCACTAATGCAAACATTTTGTATATAGTAAGCCATTTAATCCTGCCAACATCCCACCGTTATCCCCCATTTCATGAGACAACCAAGGGACACAGAGAGCAAGTTGTTCATGCAACATTGCCACCTAGTAAGTGGGGAAGCCAGGATCTGATTCCAGTCTGACACCTTCCCTCTCAATGACTGTGTGCTCAATAAATACCTGTGCAAGTTTGAAAATCCTTATTTGAAAATACTGGGGCGCCTGGGTGGCTCAGTCGGTTGAGCGTCCGACTACGGCCAGGTCATGATCTCGCGGTCCGTGGGTTCGAGCCCCGCATCGGGCTCTGTGCTGACAGCTCGGAGCCTGGAGCCTGTTTCAGATTCTGTATCTCCCTCTCTCTCTGACCCTCCCCTGTTCATGCTCTGTCTCTCTCTGTCTCAAAAATAAATAAACATTAAAAAAAATTTTTTTTTTTAAAAGAAAGAAAGAAAATACTTCCTACCCATCTCCAAATGGCAGGTCCTGACTCAGCATTGAGCCTGGGGGCATGACCTTCTCTTCCCCAATGATTCTTTTTTCCTCCTTATTTCCTCGGCCAGCAGACCCTTGGGAATAATCCTAGGAAAGGGATTTGGCAGCAAAAACACACAGACTCTCCTTTTGGGAAAGAGAAGACTTTTGCCAGCTGAGTTGGCCAATGGCCACTTTGGGGAACAGGTAAGCTGTAACTGAGTCACGGAGAAGGACAGGGTCCAGGTAGAAGTGGCACGGGCTTTCCAGGAGAGCGGGGTCCAAGACAGGGGTGTAATAGAGCACATGGTGGCCTGGTGCTGAGAAGCTGGGAAACTGGTTGTGCTCAGCCAGAGGGGACACGTAGGAGAAAAGGCGACAAACAGCTTGTACAAGAATCCAGTTCTGGGAGTCTCTCCAACAGCTCTACTCACATATCCTGCGGCAGGTGAATGTGAGGATGGCTTAACACGCCATCCCAACCACCTTCTCCCTCCTGCCTGCCTTTACAAGCAAGCTGATAAAACACACCCATTTCCAGCCTCTTAATGTTAAGAGGCCATGGGACAGTGCCTGGCCGTTTACACGGACGTGTGACCCTGTGGCACCCCAGCACAGACACGCTGAAAGGCAACTTCTCAAAAGCAGAAACGCTTTGGGTATCACCTTCACTTTCTTCCTTCCTGGCTGAATCACAGGCGCGTACCCGGGCGCTGCAGCCTTCTTTCCACCAGGAGGACCAAAGCCACACGGGAAGACAGTCCTGGACTGCCTGCCTCCAGGCTTCCCCTTACATTTAAGAAAAGGAAGGAAGAAAGGGGGGAAGGAGGGAAGGAAGACACAAGGATGGAGGCAAGAATCCCGTGTTGTTGTTTTTTTAAGATTGATTTTCTTTTGAGAGAGAGAGAGTGTGTGAGCCGGGAAGAGGGGCAAGGAGAGAGAGAGAGAGAAAGAGAATCCCAAGCAGGCTCCACACTCAGCATAGAGCCCAATGTGGGGCTCAGTCCCACGACTCCGGGATCATGACTAGAGCCCAAATCAAGAGTCAGACGCTCAACTGACTGAGCCACCCAGGTGCCCCTCTTATTTAAACCATTAGAAACATATTTACATTTATATTGATATTTATAATCTATTACTTACAGAAAAATGCATTCCCAGACACCGAAGGGTCACTTGCAGTATCACAAAATGGGAACAGTTGACCTGGAAGTGGTGACATAAATTGTGAGCCATCCACTCTATGGAACATTATGTCGTGGTTAACAAAATTGTGTAAACACACATGTACATACAGACAGGGAGAGATCTTACAGTATATTGTGAGGTAAAACAAATCGACAGAACAATATGGGCTATTGATCCGTTTATGTGATTTTTAAAATTTTATGTGCGCATAGATTTTTATATCTATTTACTTACCTACCTATGAGTGTATAGATAAAAGAAGTATATACAATGACTGTTAACGATGCTTGTTCCTGAGGTTGTGGGAGAGCAGGGTTGGGTTGTGGGTGAAAAGGGGCTTTTGCTCTTCCCTCCATGCTTCTGGGGAAAAGTAGTTGAAAACTACGGTGTTAGTTTGCTTCCTTTGCTTTGGGTAATTAAGTTCCAGTCTTGTTGAATTGAACAGAGTTAAATGCCTTGGGAGACCATCCTCTACATACCTATGACTCTAGAATTCCAAATACCCCAGTCAACCCCCCTATCAGAGAGAGAGAGAGAGAGAGAGAGAGAGAGAGAGACAGCCAGCTTCATGGTCAGGGAGCCCACTGGGACTGCCACGTTGATGGCATGACCTCTGTGCTTCTGCCTCCTAGAGACCCAGACATGGAGTTCTAGCACAGCCAATCAAAGAAGCTATTGGGTCAAAGAGCTGGGCTTCTAACACCTGAATCCAGCCAAAATGCCCTTGCCCCAGCACGTCTGGCTGAGGCAGGGTGCTACCCATGAGGTTGGGGGGAAACCCCCCTTGGACCCCAGCCCTACCTCCTCCCCACGGGTCTAGGAATCTGGATGGAGGGATCCCCACCACTCCTCTACAGCACCAAGGAGCGTCCTGCTGCTAAGGCATCCGCCAGTTTCCGACGTCCTGGGCTCTCCCAAGTGCGGGTCTGCTGAACACCATTTAGCAAGCTGAATGGATGTGACCTGTGAATTACGCAGCCGCTCAGAAGGATAATTGCTCTGTAATCTAAACCATAATGGGTGTGAGCACGGGAGAGTCTTCGACAGTGGCCGCCCTGCATGCCTGAGGGTGTCCACAGGCACGGTTCCCTGTGAACGGGTCCCCGGCTGGGCACAGGGGGTGGGGGGGGGGGGGGTGGTCCCAGGGGAGGGCACCGCAGGGAGAAGGATCCAGGAAGAAGGCTCCACATGCACACTGGTGCAGGGAGCAGACCGAACCCTTCAGAGGCATTATGTCAAGTGAGTGCAAATGAGTAACAGCGCAGATGAGTGGATGAGAGGTGTGTGGGAGACATCTTCACGTCAAGGGTGGCATGAGAGTCTATGGGAGAGACCCAGATCTCCCGCCATGGTCCCTGCGGTCCTCTCGCACTGGATTTCCTGCTGCTGAGGGCCAAGTCACCCCTCGGTCCGACACTCCAGCCGCTGCACACTAACGGGCCTCCTACCGAGTGCGCCACTCAAAGCTTGGCAGACACAGGGGGGCAGCTTGGCGCCTGTGCATGTACGGGCAGGGGCGGCTCTGAGCCCAGCAGGGGCCACAGCGGGGCTGTCACCCGGCCGGCCGGGGAGCTAGGCAGGGACAACAGTGCCACAAACGGCGCCAGGCACCTGCGGATGGGGAGAGCTGGGCCGCGAAGGCCGTGCAGAAGGCTGCAGCGGAATCGTGCCTCTCCACCTTCGGGTCCGCTGGGGGAGGCGGTCAGAGCCCGGACTGGGCATCCTTCTGTCTGTTCCCCGGGCTCGGTGACCAAGGAAGGCCCCCTTCTCATGCCCAAGAAGCCCCTTCTCTGGGGCTTTTGCAGAGGCCGAAGGGTCAGTGGGAAGCATGCGGTAGGGGGAGACTGAGGGGCCGGGGTTCGCCTTGAGGATACCGTGGGCGCCATAGCACTGCACCCCACTTCATGGTGGTTCCACAGACCCCAGGAACAACCTCCCCCGTCGCCTCCTCCCCCACAACTCCCCCTCCATCTCTCTGACCCTTCTGCGCCCCAGGCGCCGTCCCCCACCCTGCTCTCTTCTTCTCCAGGACGGTGGAAGGATACCACTTAGCAGGGCCCTGGAGGAGAAAGAGAGGGCGCCGCTCTCCCTCACCTCAACCCCAGCCACTCCACCACAACCTGCACCCCCGAGGATGCGGAACCCCCTAGCGGTCTCTGGTCCCGCCCATCTGCCACCTGCTTTCCCCACCCGCCCACTGAACCGGAGCTTTTAAAGGAATCAGCTTTAAATGTGGGGGAAACCCCAACCCTCCAAGTAACAAAGAATCATATAATTACTTTGCAGCTACTTGTCCCTGGTAATTTGATGCTTGTGTTGCTATAATTACACATTCGGTGGAGTTAGACAGTCGCGGCACTTGTGTGGCCCGTCCGTGGCATCTGTTTTCAGATGGAGAGAAAGTCTGACAGGGAGCCTGGTGGCTGGAGGGCCCCAGACCCAGGCTGGGGGGAGGGAGGGGGAAGGCAGGAAGTGCCGGAGCACAGGTGAGGCTGGGGGGAGCCAGGAGGGACTGGGGCGAGCATTTACTGGGCACCCACGGCGTGGGGGCACGCGGCCCCGATATCTAGAAGCGAACAAGACCTGTGTGTGACCCTCGTGCCTGGCAGCTCCTAGTGCCCACAGGCTCTGGTCCCCATTCACCTCTGAGGACAGCTCTCACCTGCCCCCCACCTCTCTGCACCTCCAGGGAGGGGACTTCCCACTCCGTCCTCACCAGCCTCCTGCCTCTGCCCTCCACCCGTCCATTCTCCACACAACTTTTAGACCGCCTTCTAAAAAGGCAGGGGCGCCTGGCTGGCTCAGTCCGTTAGGTGCCTCACTCTCGATTTCTGCTCGGGTCATGATCCTACCGTGGAGCCCCGCGTCGGGCTTTGCACTGACACACAGAGCCTGCCTGGGATTCTCTCTCTCCCTCTCTCTCTCTGCTCCTCCCCGACTTGTGCTCTCTCCCTCTCAAAATAAACTTACATAAAATGTTTTTTTAATTTAAAAAGGTTTTTAATTAAATTATTTTTTAATGTTTATTTACTTCTGAGAGAGAGACAGAGTGTGAGCAGGGGAGGGGCAGAGAGAGAGAGAGAGAGAGAGGGAGACACAGAATCCAAAGTAGGCTCCAGGCTCCGAGCTGTCAGCACAGAGCCCGACGCAGGCCTCGAACTCACGAACTGGGAGATCATGACCTAAACCGAAGTCAGACACTTAACCAACTGAGCCACCCAGGAGCCCCTTAAAAAAAATTTTTTTAAGGCCATCGGTGCCATTACTTCCTGCCTGGCATTCAATGGCTTAGCACTGGCTTCGGGAGAAAATGCAGGGCCCTGGCGTGCCCCCCGCTCCCACCAAGGTCTGGATGCCCTTGTGGCACCCAGACTAGGAGGGGTGGGGCTTCCTTGTCTTGCCTGGTGGGAGCTGAGATGTGCCCACCTATCCAAGTAGACCAGGCACTTGGCTGAGCCCATACTCGGGTTCCGTCTCACGAACCCCGGCTTAGGGCCAGTCCAGAGCTCAGTGGCCACAATGAGAATGGGCAAGAGAGGGCCAGACGGCAGGCGACTTCACCCCCCATCACAGCCTGTGACCCCCTCACCCTGCATCTCCTGACGGCCCAGACCCTAAATCCACTGCCACTCCCTCTTCCCCTCATCTCTGCAGGCCGTCGTCCATCAGGAAATCTAGCGCTGCCCTAAAAGGACCTGCTTCTGACTAGCTGTCACCCCTGCACGGCTGACACCTGTGTCCCCGCCTCCCTGGTCTCCCCCTGAGCGGTCTCCTCCCCTCAGAGCCTTCTTCCGCTCCCCTCACCTGGAGGGGCTCCTGACTCTCAACCGACCCAGCACTGGGTTCCTTGTTTTCCCAGCTCCTCCCCACCAGGACCTCTGTCAATGTCCCCACACCAGAATGAAAGTTCCACGAGCAGAGGAGTCTTCACTGCTTTCTTTCTGGGACATCTTGTCACAGGTTCTTAGTACAGAGGTGCTGCGTGACCTACCGACAGGTCCTGGTTCACAGAACCCTGTCCTGGTTCTATGGAGGGCCTGTCAGGAGTGTACCCGCGGTCAGGGCAACACGGGGTTCGGGGGCTGGCTCCCTCACTGCCTCTCTTCCTTGGACCCTTGGGTTAGGGGGTGGTTTTGTGGAGACACGGCTCTTCAGACAACGAGGCAGGAAGAGGGGGCACAAAGGACAGACAGACAGGAGGCGGTGTGCCCGGCGTTTCCGCCTGCAGGTGGACAGCAGGGCAAGAAGGGGGGCTACATGGTCCAGGCGGTTTCTGAATCCAGTCAGAGGGGCGAGCAAGGGCTGCCCCCACACCCCACCCCCAGCACAAAATGTTGGCCTCCTGGGGAACGGTAGCCCCGGGAAACATGGCTGAGCGGGGCCAAGGACGGCCTGACTGTCACAGACGAGGGCCGAGCAGCGGGGTCTGGAGGGGCTGCCCTGGGGCTCAGGTACAACAGAGCACAAGTCGACAGAGGTCCCAGTGCGGTCTGCTCGGCTACAAGGACCCCTGGTCATGGGGGTGTGTTTTGACCTTGGCAGCCCCGCCCCTCCTCTTCTGTGGGCACCTCTCCCGTTCCTGGGGACACTGTGGGTCCAGGCTTGGTGAAGATCTTCCAGTCCCGGCTCAGGAGGGCCCGGGTTCTCTGACAGATGGTTGGCTCTGTCTACGGGAGCCCCTGGCCCCACCCCCAGCCCAGAGTGAGTCACCTTCCTGGGTGAGAGCAGGAAGAGGGGGACACGTTGACCTTTCTGCAGCATTAACTCCCCCCACCCGTCCCACCCCTAACCAGGCCCCGCTGGACCCCAAGGGAGCCTCCACCAATCACCCACCAGCATTCTGGGGGCTCCCTCCAGGGACGCCCCTGCTCCTCTCCCCGAGAAGCCCATCCACGCGTCCAGTCTTTTCTGTAAGAGGAAGAAGGTAACAGCTAGCGGCACCTTAGGGAGAACACATCAGATTCGTTTCCTAGAGCAGCCATAACAAAGCACCACAGACTTAGTGGCTTAAAACAACAGAAATTTCTCTCTCACAGTCCTGGAGGCCAGAAGCCAAAAGTCAAGGAGTCGTCAGGGCCACACTCCTTCCGAAGGCTCTGGGACAGAGTCCTTTCCCGCCTCTTCCAGCATCTGGAGGCTCCTGGCGTTCCAGGGCTCCGTCTTCACACGGCCTTCTCCTGTGTCCGTGTGTCCTTTTCCGTCTCCTTGTAAGGACACTCTCATTGGACTTAGGACCCACCCTAACCCAGAAGGATCTCATCTCAATTCTTAACTTACTTCCATCTGCAGAGACCCTATTTCCAAGTGAGGTCACATTCTGAGGTTCCAGGTGGACACGAACTCGGGAGTGCCACGGCTGGACCCACTACGGCGACCATGTGCAGGCCTCATGCTAGGTGTTTACCTCATTACCTGACCGACTACATGGGCCATGGTTCTTATCCTCACTTTCAATAAGGAAACTGAGGCTGGAAGAGAGGGGTTACCCCAGGCCACACACACACACACACACACACACACACACACACACTGGAACTGCCACCAGTGTCCTTGTTTACCCTGCTCTGCTGTGCTGTGGCTAAAATGTGGTGCTTCCCAGGACAGGGGCCACAGCTAGGGAAATGGCCAGGTCCGCCCAGCACTCTCCACTACAGACCTTCCTTGGTCCATATTGGGTGAGGGGCTAAACTGCTGAGTATTATATAAACCCAGACCACAGAGAGGCAGAAACCAGAGAAGCCAGTGCCCAGAGTCAGCCCTCCTCTGCGAGCTAGGTAGGATTATTTCCACAGGAAAGGCTGTGGTCAACCAGGTCTGTTCCTCTGCCGAGGCTAGCGATGACGAAAGGGCGTGTTCAAAGGATCCCTTCATTCAGATAGCGATTGTGTTCAGCTGTATGCTAGCACCGTTTTAAGCCCTGGCTTCTAGGACAAGTTTTAAGCACATGGTCCTTGGAGCTTTGAAGAGGAGTTAGTCAGCTGGTTCCCATGCAGAGAGCACAGATTTGCAGAAAAATAGGAGACAGCAACCCTCTAAGAACCGATGCAGAGATCTGAGGCAAAGAGGCAGAGATGCTGACAGGAAAATGCACCAAGAACACCACACGGTGGCCATTTTTTTGGGGTGGGGGGAAGCCTCTCGGCTGCAGTGATCACGCAGAAGAAAAGTGAAATTAGGCCAGAACTCTCCATGAAAATGACCACTCAAGAACAGAAGGGAACGGCATCTCTGGTTAAGAAAAAAATCAAGTGGTAGGTGTCAGGCCACTTAACTAGGCTCTTCCTCGGTATCCCCAGGGTTCACTTTGAGGATGAATCTCATGTTCCCAGAAGGAAGAATTAAGAGGGTCTCACAGTGATGCAGCCTGGAGAAGGCTTATCTGTGACCAGCTTATCTTGAGGGTGAGCGATGAGGGCCACGGGCCTGGGAATATCTGAAGGGTGAGGGCAAGGGTAGCCTGAGCAGCACCATGGACAGCAGGCAGGCAGTCCCCAGTGCAAACCAGGCTGGGCCACATGCTTGGTGGCACGTTTCTTTGGGTTCTGGTGCTAAAGTGCCCCACAGTCTCTCAGGAAAGTCGGATACCACCTCCTGCATTTCCCGAGGAATAAAGGGAGGCCAAGGTTTGCCCAACAAGTGAACAGCAGAGTCTCATGGATCTTGTCTGGAAGTCTGGGATTGCATGGCGTTGGGGTCAGCCAACCCTCGGGTCTTCCCTGCAGTTTTCCCTCCAGAAGCCAAAGACATTCTTTTTCAATCTTTTTTCTCCTAGAACCCTTCTGTGATCTGACATTCTGATAGATTTTTTTTTAACGTTTATTTATTTTTGAGACAGAGAGAGACAGAGCATGAACGGGGGAGGGGCAGAGAGAGAGGGAGACACAGAATCGGAAACAGGCTCCAGGCTCTGAGCCATCAGCCCAGAGCCCGACGCGGGGCTTGAACTCACGGACCGCGAGATCGTGACCTGGCTGAAGTCGAACGCTTAACCGACTGCGCCACCCAGGCGCCCCTCTGATAGATTTTTTCAAAACAATTTGGTTCTCCTAGAAGCTCATGGCCTCTGGCCCACATGTCCTAGGTGCCCAGTAAACATTGCTCAGTAAGTCTGAGTCCTGTCACCATCTCTAACCTCTCCCATCTGCTAATTACTTACTGTGCATTTATCTGTGTGCAGAGTTGCTCACCAGACCATGTGGGGACACAGAGGCCAGGGCATGGTCACTGCCCTCAAGGGGTTTAGACCCCAGGTGGATGGCAAGACCTCCTGTTAGGACAGCGAGCTGGACCCAAGGCAGCATGGGAGAGGCGTCAAACGGGTGACCTGTACAGGAGCTCCTGGCGGTGCTCATGGGAGGAGAGAGTCCGCTGAGCTGGAGTGGTTCTTTCTGCAACATGCCCAGAGTGGGGAGAATTTGAGCCGACTTTGAATCATGATTTCCAGGGTTTTTTATTTGGAAAAGAAAATAATTTCTTTCTGCTTCAGTGGCCACTCATTTTCCATCTTCTTCACACATCCTCAAGTTGCAAACATTGGGGTGCCCAACACGTGATCACTTAATCTCTCCTAGGGGTCGTCTATACTCACTCATTTGCTGGCCTCGAGTTAAATACCAGCCATACGTGGACAACTCTCACTCTTAAGAGGGAGACAACTCTCACTCTCACTCTGGAGCCGGGATCTCTCTTCTGAACTACAAACTTGAATATCCAACTGTCTCGTCAACATCTTTCTTACGACTTCAAAGAGACCTTTCAAATTATTGTCAAAACTCTATCTGATCTTCCCTCAGTTGATCACAACTCCCTCTCTGCAGTTACTCAGCCCAAAAGCCTGAGCACGTGGCTCCCGCCTCTCTTTGCCTTGGATTCAACATCCGATTTGTCAGCATATCGTGGTGGCTCCACTTCTTCTCATGCGTCCGCTGTGACCCGAGAACAGAGCTGCCATGTTTTCCGCCTGGAGTTCTGTGGTAGCTTCCACTCCTGACTGTGCTGCCCACAGTCTGTATCTCTTCCTCTCTGCCTACCCATCTCAAACCCAATCTCCTGCCATCTTCCCTCTTGCTGACTCCCCGCAGCCACCTTGCCTCCTTGCTGGTCCTCCAGCATGCCACACATGTTCTGCCACAGCTGCTTTCTCAATGTCGAAAATCTCTCTCCCCAGATGGCCTTCCAGTGTTGGCGCAAGTGTCACTGGGGCCCCTCATAACCAGTCCTTCAGGTGCTGAACCCCTGCACTTTCCATTCCTTATACCACTGGTGCTCTGGCAAATGGTCAACAACTGGTTTCCCAGCCACCACTCATTTCCATGGGGTAAAGCCTCTCATCATGGCCAGTTTCCAGCAAACTATGGCCCGGGTCAAACCTGGCCTGCAGCCTGTTTTGTTGAATGTGCTCATTTGATCATGGATTATCTATGGCTGCTCTCAAATTACATGGCAAAGTAGTCATGACACAATCCATAAAGACCATCTGGTCCCTTACAGAGAAAGTTTGCCAACCCCGGACATAGAGGAGTGCCTGGTACAAAGTGGGTTCTCAAGGGACACCTGGGTGGCTCAGTCGGTTAAGTGGCTGACTCTTGATTTCAGCTCAGGTCATGGTCTTGGTGTTTGTGAGTTTGAGCCCCATGTCAGGCTCTGTGCTGACAGTGCAGAGCCTGCTTGGGATTCTCTCTCTCTCTCTCTCTCTCTCTCTCTCTCTTTCTCTCTCTCTCTCTCTCTCTGCCCCGCCCTGCCTCTGTCTCAAAATACATAAATACACTTAAAAGAATTATTAAAATAAAAAACAAAAAACCCAAGTAGTTTCTCAATAAACATCTGTTGAATGCATGCATGAATGAAAATCACCCCTCCCCCCCAAAAACAACATGGAGACTTTTGTTCTAATCCTGCCTCGTCCAGTAGTCCCTCCCATTCTACTGAAAGAACAAGATGTTGCCCCTTGTGTTTGAGGAAGGTGAGCCTGAGACAGGACACCTGCTGTGTCTTCCTCCCAAGGATGCCCCAGAGCCTGGAGGAAATACCTGCAGGTCACAGCTGGAGCTGTCTTTTCCGCCAGGGCTGGCACTGAGCCCATGCTGCCTCTTTTGGCCAGTCAAGACTGGGTACGTTTTATGCAATTGTATCATTTTACCTTCTCACAGAACCCTTGCAAGTGCCACTGTTTAATTCCCATTTTAGAGAGAGTAAAACAGAGGCTCCAGAAGTTTAAGCAACGGCCTCAAGGTCACATGGCTAAGGAGTAGCAGAGTGGAATGGGACCCAGCCCACTAGACCCCAGAGCCCTAGACTGTCTCACTTCTGCCCACTTGTGAAACGTTTGCCTCCACTGGGGGGTATGTGACCAAGGGCCCAGCCTTCTTGCTGAAAATAAAGGGACAGACTCAGTGACATTCCAGGGGGACTTCAATTTCCTCACGGGGTGTCACCAATGATTTTTAACAGCGACAACTGCTGCAGAACCGAAGTTCATTTCAGCCTGGAATAACGTACCATAAGGTGCTAACAAAACTGAGGGCAGAGGAAGTTGGTCTGTGCAGAGACAGCTGGTTTAATCTATCAGTCCTCGTTGCCCGGCTAGACATCCCACCTGGGTTTTACATTCTCGAAAATTTTGCTGAGGAGGCAACACCCTATTTGCCAGAAGAGAAAGTGGGGTGGGGAAGGGAAAGAGGAAAGTGGTGTCTCCGTTTTCATAGTAACTGGGCTGGCACGGGGCCAGGCTCAAAACTGGGAACACCTGATTCCAAGCTCCTGCCCTCATAATCGGGCTACTTCCCTAGGCGCTGGTTTTAATTCAGTTCAAGGGTAGATCATAAATTAATTTGACGCTGGAATTATAGTAGACACTCAATAAATTATAAAAAACACAGCAATCTGGAGCTGGCAGGGACCCTGGAGGCCACGGGGCTGGCGGTTCTCAGCCATGTGCACATGTGATTCACTCACGGGCCCGGCAGATCAGTCTGGGGGTGGGCCTGGGCATAGAAATATTCGAAAAGCTTCATTTCATACATGAGGATGTGATGCTGGAGATTTTAAGGGTTTTCCTCCATTAGCACAGAGCATGCAGGCATAGCTCCACAGCTATGTGATCTTGGGGAAATCACTGAACCCCTCTGAACTTTGGATTTGTCCTGTGTTAAGCAGGTTATACTGAGTTCTGTGAGTGTGAAGCGGCCTGGCCCACATGGGCACTGCTTAATAAGCATTTGCACCGTTTGGACCGAGGGCTCCCCCATCACTGTGTCAGTTCCCGAAGAGCCGGGAGTGGGGGCGTAGACCGTTTACGAAGGAGAAAGCTGAGGTCCAGAAGTCACAGGACCAGCCTCAGGTGGCACAGGAGGCCGGGTGACGGGTCTGGGACTAGAGCGCGGTCCTAGATACTCCCACCTGGCCCGGAGCTTTACGCAAACGCTTCGGCGACTTGGGCGTGGAAATGCTCTCCCGGGGCCCCGTTCACGTGAATGTGCTACTTTCAATGAGACCAGAAGATCAGCACTTTGTGGCAACTCCTCTGGGGTGAGCACAGGGAAGAAGGAATCCACCAGCCCAGCAGCCTCCACGATAAACTCAGACCCCTGGAAGAAACGTAATTAAAGTCATGAATCCTGGGAACGGTGGCTGCATCACACGTTCACAGGGTCAGGGGGGGCAGGACAGAGAAGAGCTGATTTGCAGGTGAGTTCAAACTGCTTACTTTGGGATTTACAGTCTGGTAAGGGGCCATCCATCACGTTTATGGGGGGACAATCACCTGAGATCACGAGGAGCAGCAGTCTGGGCCACCGTGGAAGGCCAGCCCATCCAGCCCCAGCCGGGCCTCGGGATGATGATAGGACCACCTCTGCAAACAGTGAGAATGAATGGGGCACAGGTCACCAAGGAAATGGAAAAAAATAACAACAACAACAACAAAAAAACCCACCAAAAAACCAACAACCCATCACCCATTCTCCATGCGTCTCTCTTCCAATAATACCTGTTCACGCTGACTTCACTTCCCTTACAAGCCACCGTCAGAGACAGTGGAGGATAATCGGCCAGGGGAGAATAATCAACCAAGGAGAACTTAGGAGAGTAACCCCAGGCTCCCGGCATGGCAGCGGGAGACACAGCCAGTAGCTGGCTGGGTGATGTGGAGTATGCCCCTGGCCCTCTCTGGACCTCACTATCTCTTTCATAAAGTGGCCAGGTTAGACCAAGCTCTGACACTCCATGACTCTGAGATCTCTGGTAGGAGAGCCAGGGGCTCCAGAGCAAGGCTGCCTGCTGGGCTGGGCTGAGCCCTCCACTCTGGCACAAGAAGGGACACGGCACCCTGGGTCCCCACCCGGCCCACAAAGGGTTTGAAGATGAGAACATCATGTACCCCTAGGAAATTTTTTTTTTTTTTTTTTAGAAACGGGGCTTAGCTTGACCTGGAAGAATGGGGAACCACAGAGGACTTTTGGATCCCGGTGGGGGGCATTTGAATCCTACTCTACAGGGAAGTGGAGACTCTAGGAATTTCTGAGAGCACTGAAAACATCCAGTCTGTGTGTAAGGAAGATTATAGCAGGGAGGCCAAGGGAGAGAGGGTCTGGGCTCCGTGCTTTCCAGGGCAAGGTGTGGGGCCTGGGAGCCTCTTGGATCCCTTCCGTTCAGCCCTGTGTGTTTCTATTCCATTTGAAAACTGGAGCCTCCCCAAAGGCTTATGATTATTATGATGATTATTTAGTCTTTTGCAAAGACTTAGAGGCATGAAAAACAAGGAAGCAAAAGAGCAAAAATCTGTGCATCTGGCCAGAGGGAGTTCTATTTGCCATCCTGAAATCTCTGCTTCTCATTAATTAGAGGAGCCAAGAAATCACCCTTCGAAAACTGGCTTTTCCACCAGTAATGCCAGCTGCTCAACCTTTTGTGGGAATGTGCGGCTGGCCTCTTCTGCAGCCCAAGCCCTGATGGCACCGTGCCCCGGCCGCAAGACTGCAATATCCACTTGGTGCCACTCTGGCCTGTTAATTGCTGCGTGAAGAGTGTTCCTCGCTGGACCTTTCTATCTGTGTTCTTCAAAAGCAGGTCCCTCCCCGGCGCTCTCCCCCGGGGGCCAGGCGAGGTGAGCCACCCTCGCTAATGCCAAGCCCTAGCAGCAGCATCTGGTGTCTTGCTCCTCGGCCGTCTCCACTCCTGGCCACGCAGAGCAGAGGGATAGCTTGGGAAGCCGCGGAGGCAGGCGACAGAAGAACATGGTGGCCTCCTCTCTGGCTCAGCTGCCCTGGGGTGGTCTGAAAGGGGAAAGCAGGACAGTGTGGCCACCCAGGGTAGCAGGTGACTGTCGGGACTCTGGGCCTGCCAGACAATATCTGGATCTCAGCCCCACATGGACAGGAAAGAGGAGCCCTAGGAATGAGGTTTCCCACAATGGAAGACTGTGATGTCCTGATTTATTGATAAATATAAATTTGGTCTTCGTCCCTGTTCCTGGCACAGAGCTCCTAAAACCCTTGGAAATTCCTAGGGGGTGAAAGCAATAAAGGTGTCATTGTCATGTTAATGAGGCGACTTTTGGAAAGCACCAAGTTCACCTAAGGTTGGAGGCTGGTCACCAAGGGAGCCAACCGTGTGACTGGATGGTTGGAACTTTCAGTCCCTCCACTGACCTCTGGGTCAGGGAGAGGGGCTGGAGATTGGGTCAGTTGCCAAAGGCCAGTGACCTAATCAATCATGCCTGTGTAATGAAGCCTTCATAAAAACGCAAAAGGACATGTTCAGGGAGTTTTGGGTTGGTGAACGCATAGAGGAAGCACAGAGCCCTTTCTCCATTCTCTGCCCTGTGCCTCTCTCCCATCTGGCTGTTCCCTTAATATCCTTCATCATAAACCGGGAATCTAGTCAGTAGAATGTTTCTCTGAGTTCTGCGAGCCCCTCCAGCAAGTTCACTGAACCCAAAGCAGGGGTTGTTAGAACCTCTGACCTATATAGCCAGTCAGAAAAGCTGAGTAACAACCTGGACTTGCATGGAGGGAGGGGTGGTCTTGAAGGAGCCAGCCCTCAACCTGTGGGACCTGAGGCTCTCTCTGCAAGCAGACCACATCAGAACTGAGGTAACTGGTGCTGTGGGGAGAGAACCACACATACATCAACATTAGTTTCAGCATCATAGACAGGAAACAGGGTTGTTTCACCTGAAGAAGAGAAAACAAAGGGACAGACTGCAGGCTTCCTATGAGAAGTGTGGTCACTGCAGGAGGGATCAGAGTGACTCTGTACAATCCTGCGAGGCAGAACCAGGTGCAAGCACCAAAAAGACAAATTTCAGTTCGGTAAAGAAGAGACATTTTCATCGAAGGTGTGTGGCCTGCTTCAGGAGATGGCATTTCCCCAATGAGGGTGCTGGAGAAGCTGGGTACCAATGCCGGAGGCTTTGGAAGGATGGGCTCTGCCTCATTAGAAGTCATCGGTGCTAACCCAGCCCAGAAATTGTGCCTGTGCGCAAGATGGAGGGGACAGAAAGGGCACTTGGCTGTAGAGTGGAGTGGGACAGCTTCCACTCCCAGTTCTGCCACCAGTCTGTTGACAATGGGATTTGGCAGGTCACTTAACTTCTCTGAACCTCAGGCTTCTTGTCTACAAGATGGCAGGTCTCAGAGAAGATCAGCTCTGAGTAATTTCCAATTTTAAGTGTGCCCCACCCCAACCCTCACCCTGTCCTATGACCAGAGAGGGGCTGGGCCTGGGCCCTTCAGAAGTGCCAAAGTAATGGAAGAAGTTTTCACAAAGGCAACCCAAAGTCAGGGGGCAGAGCTGGGGGTGCATTGTGCAGACTTTCTACGGCATAATAAGCTCATTTACACCAGCAGAGCGGCTCTGAATCTCAAATGTGAAAATGATAGGACTTGGGGCAGAAATCACCCCTTGCAATTTGAGATGAATCTGATTGGCTTTAGGAACTTCAAGTAAATACAAGGAAAAGACAGCTGTCACTGGGAGCAGAAGATCACCACCGCTACCCCCTTTCATTCCGCCAAGGAGTAGAATGGTTGCTGTAAGTGGCTCATGGCTGTATCCACAGGGAGTGAAAGCTCACAAGACAGTGGAAAAAACTTGAAATTCCTCAAATTCTGATGGAGGCTGGGGGGGGGGGGGAGGAGAATAAGGGGTCTTGGAGAAAGAGGAAGGAGTTAAAGGGGCAGAAAAACTGTGTGGAGAGTAAAGACGTAGCCAGTAAAGCAGAAAGGGTGGCCCAGGGGACACCTATGAGGGGTCATCCCAAAGGTCTGGGCCAAGATGGCCACACTCTTCGATGGTATAAGGCACAGGAATTCTAGACCAGGGTGGAGGATTCGGGGTGAGGGTAGGTGTCTAACACCTGATTTTTCCTCTATTCCCACCTCTGAAGTTTAGATCTCTCACCAAAGACCTTAAGATCTATCTGAACATCCTTGGTATCCCCCTGCTCACGTGTGTTTGCTTTAGAGGGATGGTGGCCGAGTTGGTCACAGCTGAGGGTGTGGAGTAGGTCCCAGCTCCAGTCAACCCAAGTAAGAGAATCATCTTGAGCATGGGCCATGAGCCATTGTTAATAGCTAAAAAAAATAACAAGTCCTTTGGGTCCTCTCCTAGCCACACTTTGCTTCATATCCTGGGAGCTAAGGAGCTTGAGCGCCATGAGAAGTGTGGGAGAGGCCACCATCTTGGCTCTCCAAACTTTGATTCAAGGTCCCACTGTGTTAGAATCACGCTGAGGGTCCCACAGAGCTAGAGTGTGAGCCTCTTCTTCTGACCCCACATTTTCAAGCCAAGATACCTTCCAGGAGGGGAGGCAGGTCTGTCGGAGAAAAGAGTCCTGGGAAAAGCCAAGTTAAATTTCTCACCTGCTGGCAGAAAGGGGGTGAAGGGCCCAGAGTCAGAGATGAGACTGGAGAGGCTCCCGGACAAGGCAGTGAAAAGGAGGCAGAGAGTGTCAGCAGGGCCCAGCCAGGAGTTCACTGGAGACGGTCACAGTGTTAACAACAAGCCTCGGGCTTCATGAACCGCCTGAGGGTCCTCCAGAGTCTTCAAGATCATTCTGGGCAGAGGAGGAGAGAGAGAGCAGGCCACAGGTATTTTAAAGAAAGAGAAATGCTACAAGCTCAGGTCTTAGGGACTAAAAGAGAAATAGCACCGAGAGAGAGAGGACAGCAGCTGCCCCAAACAGAGTGGGGGTGGGGGAGCTCCAAACTCCACTCTTAGGACAGGGAGCCAGGCCCGACTCAGGGCACCACCCTCCCATTCTGGTCTCCTACGATATGGATAGTGAGGTATTAAGGGGGTATATGCAGGGCGCATACAGCCTGAGAAATATGCTTGGTGTTGGGGAAGATGTGAGTCAGTCAGAAGATAAGTTAGGGTCACAGGTTGGACAGGTTGGACCAGGCCTCAGTGATGCTCAGTGCTTCCCCCACGGCTCCTGTGCCCAGCTCCCCGGCTGGTGGTACCAGAGGGGAGACAGGTGCAAATCAGAGAGGGGGAGACATGCCTCGCTACGCCAGATGTCAGATCCCATGCTGACACCCCTCTCCGGTCATCCCCCAGCAGTGTCTTGCCCCGGGGTCCACTGCGGGACTCCAGAGAGTCCGGCCCCTGATGCAGGTTCAGGATAGATGCCCGGCGAAGTACACTGTGCTGAGCCACGAATTCCAGAGGTGGCACAAGGGTAAGAGAAGTTGTGCTGCACCCCAGCCTGGCAAAGTGGCCCAGGTCATTAGGACAAATGCTCATCCCTCCCAGGTGTTAGCCGTTACTCATAGTTGCATCTCTATCCAGCAACACTGTGGCTTCTGACCTTGGCTATTCATGCCCACAGTTTCCAACTCAACCCAGCCAGTGGGGAAGGCCTCAGGCAGCAGGGCCAGGCAGCGTAGACTCCTGCCGCTCCCAAAGATTTGCCCTCCATGGACGGAATGTGGGCTTGGAGAATAGGCCCTAGTCGAGGACCGTTGAAAGATCCTAAAGTACTCAAGAGACCGATAATTTAAGGAACCACATTAAGAACACCCAATTAATGGCATTGTATGGGAATAACCAGTCTGGCTAAAGTGCGGAAGTGTGGTAGGAGGTACCGGACTGCCATGGGCCTGGCACACCAGGTCAAGAGGTGTGAGCTTTTCCTCATCAGCAATGGGAAGACTTCAAAACCAGGCAGGAGCTGGTGGAATGGTTAGACAACCAACATGTGCTGGTAGCCACCCCTACTCCTCCACATGGCCTCCCCTCCATTCTTCCAAGTTGTCCCCAGCCAGCTTTCCAGACCAGTGCTTGGCAAAGACAGGGTGTTAAAAAAGAATTTTCTGGGGCGCGTGGGTGGCTCAGTCAGTTGAGAGTCTGGTTCCAGCTCAGGTCATGATCTCACAGTTCATGAGTTCGAGCCCCATGTCGGGCTCGTTGCTCTCAGCTCAGAGCCTGCTTCGGATCCTCTACCGCTCTCTCTCTCTGCCCCTCCCCTGCTCACACACTCTCTCGCTCTCAAAAATTAACATTAAAAAAAAAAAAAGAATTTCCTGAACGCATTAACGGACAGCATGATATTTATGGGAATCCAAAGGGGTAGAGTCTAATGAGTGTTAAATGTGACACAGCATTTACAACCACCAAATAAAAAGTCATTGATGAAAAAATTTCTTTCAATTATTTCTCTCAGGCAGAGAAATCGCCTTGAAATCAGTGTTTTGAGAAGTTACTTATGGAGAGTGACATAATCATCAGAGACGATCATGTAACCCCCTTTCATAGAAATTGGGTCTGGTTAACCTTGGAAACCTGGAGCAAGGGTTTTGGGGCAGGTTCAGGAGTAGAGGCTGGGGCAAACCCACTGTGTGCTGTGTGAATGAGGAGAGGGCAGCCACCCAGGTCAGGTGCCTCCTGGGGACAGGGAGATAAAAAAGCACTCAGAGAAAAGGTTTAGAGCCACAAAATATCTCAAAGGTCTTTAGATAGTGTGCTGTGATGTAAACCCCCATCTCCCCTACGAGGGTGCCTGCAAATTCTACTATGGAAACAACTGCTGTCATATGAAGGAATGAATAAACACTTTGAGTTCTGCTCCCAAGTTGGTGCCAGACAGAAATAGAGGCTGTTCCCACAAATGCTGGGGCCAGAGGACAAGGGACAGCTGATATCTAGCACCAGTAGGTGGGCCATGGAGTCACCCATTCGAGACGTACCCTGAGGGACCCTGAAGACATTCCTTGGGAGGAGACAGGGTGATGGATGTGAGGTGATGGCAGACACAGATATCCTTCGGGCAGGGCTGGCACAAACCAAAGGCATACTGACCCATAAACCACCAATGCCAGCACCTGCTTGTATCCCTGTTCTATCCGTGTGGGGGTCTGCTTTTTTTTTAACGTTTTAATTTTATTTTTGTTTCATTTTCTTTAAGTTTATTTATTTATTTTGAGAAAGAAAGAGACAGCATAAGTGGGGGAGGGGCAGAGAAGGGCAGAAAGAGAGAATCCCAAGCAGGCTCTGCGCTGATGGCACAGAGCCCAATGTGGGGCTCAGACTCACGAAGCAGTGAGATCATGACCTGAGCCAAAACCAAGAGCCTGACACTTAACCGACTGAGCCACCCAGGGGCCACTATGCAGGGGGGGGGGGGGGGTCTTTGATTCCCACAAGCCAGCAGGGACACCGGGAGGGCAGGAAACCAATGGGACAACGACTCGAAAGGAAGTTTTGTCGTGGAAAAATAAATAATAGTAGGCTTTCGCACCACTCAGTGCTCTGGAAATCCTGTTTGCCCTGTATTGTATTGTATTGTATTGTATTGTATTGTATTGTATTTATTTTCGCCCTGTATTTTAAATGTACGTTCACTAAAAAAGAAAAACTAAGCTAGATAAAGGGAATCGAGATCCCCCCAGGGGAAGAAGGCTTCCCCGGCTCGCACCCAGCCACCACTCCATTCCTCGACTCTGAGGTCCGTGTGCTCGCCACTCAGATGGAAGGCGGTGATTAAAGCCAGCCTGACCAACACTGCTGCTCAAATTAAACTCCTTAAAAAAGCACAACATTTTCAATAAAAGAGGCCGAGCCCAGCATGCCTTAGTCATTACTGTAGTACTTTTCTTCCAGAAAGATTAACAAATGTGAAATAGAGGGCTGAGAAATTTTGATCAAGCAAAGTGTTTTAAAGGGTTTTATTTCCTCCCTCTTTCATTAAAATCGCACCGCTGCGATTCTATTCTATATATAACATAGATATACACATGCATGCTGTGTCGCTTCTACCCGATGAGGACAATAGGACCCTCCCTGGGAACTAATATCTTCTTTAGGATCTGCTGGGGAAAAGCAACACATATAAAAATATAAATGAAAATGGCCCCAGCTATAACTACATAAAAATGAGTGCTTATTTCCATTGCTAGGATAGCAGCTTTGAACTTGGGAACACAAGAGAAATATACTTATTAGCTCAAAGAAAGCAGATCTGGATTTGGGGATGTGAGTTAGGGGAGGCCAGCAAAAGGAGTGTGGAAGCCCCCTCCAAACGGCTGAGGCCCAGAAGAACTGACCACAGTGCCTTAGTTCCTCCCCAATACTTCCCTTCTCTTAGACTCAGTGAGGGGAGGGAAGGGGAGAGGAGGGGGAAGGGGGAAGGGGGAAGGGGAAGAGAAAACAAAGAGGTAGGGAAGAGAAGGGGAGGGAAGAGAAGAGAAGGGAAGGGGAGGGGAGGGGAGGGGAGGGGAGGGAAGGGAAGGGAAGGGAAGGGAAGGGAAGGGAAGGGAAGGGGAAGGGGAAGGGGAGGGAAGAGAGAGGCCAGCAGGGGAGAGAGAAAAAAGCAAAGAGGAGGAAAAGCAAAAGGTCGCAGGTGCCTTTGGTCACAAGGAGAGAAACCAGTTAACACAAGCCTAAGAGACAAAGAGTGACAGACTATAGGGACAGAGTGAGATTCATGGAAATAAATGTGCTTGGGCAGGCCCAAGGGAAGTTCTGAAACAAAGACCTCAAACATCTCCAGAAACGTAGGCCTCCCCGTTTCTTCCTGCTCCCATCCCCTCCTCCTGCACCCTCTTCTCCTGCTCTGTTCCCCTCTCTCTGTAGCTCAGTGCCCTCACCTCTCAGCCCACACAGCTGGACATGACCCGTGGTAGGCAGATATCCCACATACCAGGGATGTCTGTGTGCAGAAGCCAGCTGGCCATCTCTGAATCCCGGGGCTGAGAATCTGGCCAGGCCCCTGGGCCCATCTCAGTCCAGTGCCAGCAGAAAGGGGTTACGTGATGCACATGTGGGCCAGAGCCCAAGCCCAGAGGGGAGGGATTTCAAGGAGGGGTGGGCTCCTGGGCTAGAGGGATCACCCTAAAGGTGAGGAGAGGGGGTGCTGTGGAAAATGAGAAAGGAAGACCAGAGATTGGTGCCTCTCCCAACCCGAGTTTGAAAGGACAAAATACTGCAAGGGGAAATTGGTTCTACACGGACGTGTGCTGAGGTGTGTGTCACGAAACCTTCTGGAATCCCTCCCTCCTCATCTATCTCACTCAATAGCTACTGAACAGGAACAGCCTGTTGGACGCCCTCTTTGTTCCAGGGAGACCCTAACGGAGAATGAGTCATGGGTGAAGTGTTTTCCTGGCAAAAACCTGCCTTTCGTGCAGTCTCCTCCCCACACCCACCCCAGGCTCCCAAGCCCACCCTGCGGCCCTCTGGCTGCTCTCCCGAAGTCCACCTCCCTTCTGTCAACACCCTCCCCCTAACTGTTCTTTTCCAGCTAGGTTCCTCACCCAAGAGCTGAGTAGGATCTGATTATCAGCTCCACACCACCATTCTCTCCTATAATATCTTAAAATTTTGTTCTCATTTAGCTTACTCCAAAACAAAGCGCGCAAAAGATACAGACATAGAAGACCAAGGAATCAGGGCTCTGCGCTGCCATCCTCACACCTGCTCACATCAGCTTGCATGAAGCAGCTGGTTTTCCACTCGGAGGATCACCCCTTCAATACTTTAAAACCAGTTCTCTTGTTTATTCAGCCAGTCATTTCACCCACACTAACTGGTACGTCTTCTAGATACCAGATGGTGCGCTAGACGCTGAATACAGCCATGAGCAGGACAAACACAAGTTTCTTTCAAAAAAATTAAAAAAAAATTTTAATGTTTATTTTTGAGAGAGAAAGAGCATGAGTGGGGGAGGGGCAGAGAGAGAGAGAGAGAGAGAGAGAGAGAGAGAGAGAGGAGACAGAGGATCTGAAGCGGGTTCTGTGCTGACAGCAGAGAACCTGATGTGGGGCTTCCAGCCCACGAGCTTCGAGATCATGACCTGAGCCAAAGTCAGACACTCAACTGACTGAGCCCCCCAGGTGCCCCAGAACAAACACAAGTTTCTACTGTCAGAGAACCCTGAGGACTTGCAAGGACACCAGAAGTTGGCAGGGCAGCTCTCTTCCAAGGCCTCTCCCCTTGGCCTGTACATTACCGCCTTCTCCCCGTGTCCTCACACGGTCTTCCCTCATCTGTGTCTGTGTCCTCATCGCCTCTTCTTATGAGGACACCAGTCATAATGGGTTAGGGCCCACCTAACGACCTCATTTTAGCTTAAGTACCTCTTTAAAGGCCCTGTCTCCAAATACAGTCACATTCTGGAAGTTAGGGTCCACGGTTCAGCCCCTAAGAGCCTATTACTTGCTGGCCAGGTACCCAATTCTGGAAAGAGTGTTCCAGAAAGAACGCAGCTGGAGAAGAGCAAGTGTGATCACGAAGGATCCAGTATGTCAGGTTAAGTGTTTTCTTTAGACCTTACCTGAAAGGGAAAGTTGAGATCATGGAAGAGTTTCAGGCAGAAGAAGGATGTGACAAACGGCGTGCTAGAAAGATCCTTCCCGTCTGTGGTGGAAAATGAATTAAAGGAACAAGGGTGGATGCTGCCGGCAGTCCAGGCGGCAGATGGAGGTGACTCTAGGTTTGGGTCGCTGCGAGGACGTGAATGCCAGCTGAAAGGACAAGATACAGGTGAAGAGGCAGAACAGAGCCCTGGGAAGCACTGATCTTGCAGGACTGCAGAGAGAGGTCAGCAAGGGCCAACCAGGAAGTCGAGAGCAATCTGGGGGTGGGGGGGGCGGTGGGGACCAGAGTGGGTGGTCAGCAAGGGAGGGTGGCCAAACAGGTAGGGGCAGAGGGCAGCTGTGGGGATTATTAACTGTCTTGGGGCCACGGTGCCCTGGGTCAGAGCAGTTGCAAGGGAGGGTAGGACTGGAGGCATGATTCCACAGGAAGAGGACGTATATTGTATATTAATCTCATCGGAGACGTGCTACATTCATGAGCCATCCCATCCCTAGGCCTCAAAACTGATGCCATTCCAGGCCGACTTAATCAAACAACCCTAATGGGCACACGACCTGGACTATATTATAGCCAATGTTCAGAGATTTGAGGCTCTAATCGCAGCTTCAAACCTATTGTACTGGAACTGGTTCCGTTCACATATTTCGAAAAACGATCACCATCTCTACCATAAAGTCATTAAGAGGCTATATAAGCATTAACCTTTTAAGTTAAAGATTGAAAGTTTAAATCCCCCCTTAATGGTATGCCACCACTAGATACATCAACTTGATTTATCACTCTGATCAGTAATCATTAACGCTATTTACCATATTTCAACCAAAAATCTTGCAAAATTTATATCCATGCAATCCAGAACCCAAGTCAGCAGTTGCACAGAAACAAACCAACCCTTGAGAAAAGAAAAGAAGGAAAATCTATCCGCCTCTTTCATTACAACAATAATAGGATTACCTACTGTTATTCTAATTATTAGTTATTCTGTTATTCTAATGCTCCTGACTTGTTCAGGCTAAAGGACAGAGTCACATATGGGAGGCTAAGGAACCCAGTGGAATTTTTTTAAATGTTTATTTATTTTTGAGAGAAAGAGAGAGTGCGAGCTGGGGAGAGGCAGAGAGAGAGGGAGACAAAGAATCCGAAGCAGGCTCCAGGCTCCAAGCTGTCAGCACAGAGCCCGACACGGGACTCGAACCCACGAACCATGAGTTCATGACCTGAGCCGGAATCAGACGCTTAAATGAGTGAGCCACCCAGGAGCCCCCCCCACCGCCAGTGGAATTCTTTGAGTGGAAAAAGCTTTCAACACACTTAAATGATGTTGGCAAAGAGCCAGTAGAGAAGCACCTTTGGACCCCAAGGAAGCCAGAGGGAACACTGAATTTGGGGAAGAGAAGATCCAACTGCCCCGTTTCAACACAAAAGGAGGAGGAGGAAGGGGACCAAGCGGAAGCTCTAATCAGAGCGACGGACCCCCAGCGAGGTGGTGTATGCAGTAGAGGGATATTTCATGCAGGTCGTGAATGTAAGTGGAATGGATGAATCCATGAGGGATGTACTTGATGGAATGTACATCCACGGCCATGTGGTCTCTAGACCAGCAGACAGGAACCATCCCCTTAGCATACAGAAGTAGGCCATTGAGCTGCTCACAAGCAAGCCAAACTTTTTCTCCAGAACATTTTGAACTAACTATAAAAGCTAGAGGAGGCTGACTAGTTCCCTAAAGCTGCAAAATCACAGAGCATGTAGGAACTGTTGCCTGGGCCTGGATAATTTTAAAGGCCACTATCATGAGCAAAAACAACAGGCAGGACTTCCTTGGAGCGGGTCTTCTCTCCTCCCTCCACCCTCCCTCCGCTTTCCTCCCTCTTCCCCTCTCCTCCCTTCCCTCCCGGCCTCGGGCTGCCCTCAACACCACTTGCAGGTCCTGGATCTGACTACAACGGGACACCCCTACCCTGTGGGCTCTGGGGTTCAGCATAAAGCCCACTAGAATAACTAGACCATTGAGCTTCAAATTAAATCTCCCCCATAGGCCCTTCTTCTCCAGTTACTGGGCTCATTAGAGCTCAGATAATGGAACATCTCCTCCCACTAATGGCCCATGAGAAGTGAAGGAGAGAAACCAGCCCCTCTACGATGTCACTACAGAGAAACGGAGAGAAAAAGGTCACTGACTATAGCCCCAAAGTTTTTAGTGTTTTGGAAGAACTTTCTCCTGACCATGGGAGATCTGGAGCATGAAGAATGGCTTTGCCAGGGCGTGGTGGTTGTAAACAGAATAGACATCCATTTGTGCATCCTGGTGACTAAGCCAGAGTTCTGGAATTTGTCATTCCAGAAGGTTCCATGGCTAATGTCATGGGTAGGGAGGGGACACGTGCGATCGATGGAGCCAGAAGAGGCTTTTAGAAGCTGTGGGGGCTGCTCGTCAGGAAAAGGGAAGACCGCTCGCCACAGCCTGGTTTGTGCTGATTTGTCCCACGTGAAACACAGGGTCTGAGCAAGGACTCCGTTTACAGGGACGGGGAAGGATTTGACAGTGACCGTGTAACTGGGATACGGACGGTCACCAAGATGCTGTGAGCATTCGGCCATGTGTGCCAAACAGACTCCTATGCGTCTGCAGCTGCTAGAAAGTGGTGAATGTTCTGGGTTTGGAGTACTCGCTAGCCAGGGCTCCACCATGACCTCTGCCAGGGGCCATGAGAAAACGGAACACCCCCTATTGCCCACCAGTCTGACCCCGAGCCCCAGCCCCCGCCAATCATGTTTCATGGCTTAGAAATCAGCTGATTTTAAGAAAGTGCTACCTGATAAAGCAAAGGAATTAAATTCTAGGCCCAAGAAAGCTATGAGCAGCCCCTAACTGCATGCGGACTGGCAAGATTTCCCCGAAAGGACAGCAGCAGAGAGGTTCTTACCACAAACGAGAAGTGTTATCAAGTGCCTTACACACATAAAGCGGATCGTCTCTAACTGGTCCCTCGAAAGTCACTCACGCTAAAACAAATGGAAACAAAGAGACCCACGGTTGCGGGCCTTCCCGACCCACCAGGCTGGGAGTCATTTCGTGCAGGTGGTGATGTCAGCAAGGGAATGGGGACCCCCTAGAGCAAGTTCCCCTTTAGTCCCTGAAGGTCTGTGGGTCTGAGGTACGGGCTCCTGTCTGGGGCACAAGCAACGCAATGACCCAGCTCAGTCTCCTCCCTCCTACTGTCCCATCCATCACAAAACCTGCACAGGGAGGAAAGGGGATGTGTGGGGTGTGGGGGCTGCTAGCGGGACACGGAAGTTTCACAGCCTATGGCCTTGGCCAGCTCTGTCGCACGCTGGGGGACACAGAGCATCACCACGGAAACCAGAGGAAACACAAGTAGGGCTCAGGAGGCCCCCGGGACTCGGAGAGCTCTCCTACTGAGACACCCCAGCAGACCCCTTTACAGCCCACCAGGCAGGGAAAGGGGGGTCACCAAGAGGAAACTCTGCAAAGACTTCCTGCTCCTGCACCCTGGCCCCCCAACTCACACTCTCTGTGTCCCCGTGGCCTCCTACTCCCTCTTCTCCCAAGTCCCTGGGCCCCGTCACTCATCTTAGAGGAAGTGACCGATTGATAAATCATCTGTAAGACAATATGGAAAGGCTACTGTTTGCTGGGCACCATTTTTGGGTCGGGCACTGCTTTCCTTCCCAGATGACTTCACTCTATGCCCAAGAAAGCCCAGTGACGCAGGCACTGCCGTCACCTTGCAGATGACGAGACTGAGGTTCCGAGAAGTCAAGCAGTCCCAACTCGCTGCTGGCACGTTTAAACCCCGCCATCTGGCCTCTGAGCTTTCACGCCTACCTTTTTCGTCTCAATTCGCAGGAGCACTTGAGAGCTGACGTCAGACACTCAGGAGGAGGGCACTGCTTAGCTGGAAGTCTTAACCGTTACTGATGATTCTGCACAGGGCTCCTAGATAGATAGGAAGAGAACCTCTGTGGACCCCCTCACGCCCTCCCTCACCAGGCTATCACGAGCATCCCCTGTCGCTCACTGGGGTGGGTGGGGGTGTGAGGGGACTCCTCCTAATCTCCCACTTCATTCTTTCTTGTGATTCCTTTCCCAGGGCCCCGGGTGCTTTGAAGTACTTGCCATTACCATTTTGGCGGGTGGGTTTCCCGTCTTCTTTGAAACCGAGGGTTTAGACCATGATATTTGAGGGGGAGGACTGTTAAGAAGCCTTCCAGGAGAATGAATGGCCAGGTCTCCACCCACATGCCTAGCTAGGTCAGCAGGAAGCAGCTGTCCCTGGTTCCAGATGCTGACCCACTCTGCAGGGATCCAGAGACATTCTGGAGAATTGTTCCAGCCAAGCCGGGTTCCTCCTGTTTATTTACTAGAGTGTCTGCCTTTGGATGCTGTCTTCCTTGATTGGGTGTGCCATCACGTAGCCAGACATGAGCACTGACCTCTCCTGGTCTCCAGACCCACAGCCACACGAGGGGTGGCCCAGCCTGAGACAGGGGGCCATGCTGCAGGTGATAGGTACCCTATCTCCCTGCTCACACATCCAGAGGTGCTGGAGGAGACAGAGGGGGGTCTGTTTGTGCTGTGGGAAAAGTCTGGACAGGTCATAAGGAGAGCTTCTGCCCATCAAGAGTGTGTGACCTCAAGCCTCAGTTTCCCACTTGCAGAATGAGGAAGTCGGACCAGGTCGGTGGGTTCAAGCTGTGCTCTGAGGAGCCCCAGGATTCTGCCTCATTGCACCGCTACCCGGACCAGGAGACCCCGCATGAACCGCACTGGGCGTGAGACTCAGTGCCCTGAAGGTTGGGGAAGGAGAGCGTGGGGGAGGGGAAGGAATCAAGCAGCCCCACTTTGCTCTCTGCTACACACGAGTTTCAGGAAGGTTCTGTGGCTCTGCAATGTCTGACATTTATCGGGCTGGATATTCTCTAGGTCCCTCTGACCCAGGGGTCGGGGGTGCCGTGCCTGCGGGAGGCCCCTGATCTGCTCATTCTACCCCCATTCAGCTGCCACAAAGCCAAAAGAGCCTGGGGGAGGGGGCAAATGGCTGGCCTGGAGGGAGGCGACCCGATTTCACCGACTGAAACAGTTCTGTGACTCCCAAGTGCCTCATGTTGAAATCAGGAGACATCACAGAGGTATCTCCTATTCGGACAACGCACCCTGCCCCGTATCACACGGCCGGGCTGGGCTGAGCCAGGCTGGATCCGGGTGGGGGGCTGCCCAGCGGGACCCACACTGTGCGTCTGTCGCTCAGAACCGCAGCCCCCTTGCTCTGCCCCTTTGTGAGCTCAACAGGACAAGTGGACAGAAAGGTGCCCAGCACCTCCTCACCCCGTCCACCAACATCTGTCCCCTAGGGGTCCCAGTCCCCAGCAGGGAGGGACAGGGACCGGAGTTCCTGAAGCAAGGCCCGGGGTTCTGCTCCGCGTCTCCACCTTGCGAGACAGCTCCCAGTGGCACAGCCTTGCAGACGTCACCCTGAAAAGCTGATTTGAGAAAGCAAACTCAATGACAACAGTATCCAATTGAGACCGCAGAGGGAGTTTAACAGGCAGAATGTAATTACTGAGCCTGGAACGGGTCCAAGACGTGGCGTTCCCACGGAGGCCACGGGGACTCAGCACTAGCAGAAGGGGGCACCGCCAGCAACCCATCCCAGACATCTCCGCAGAGCCTGGGATGTGGCACCCAGGCCTTCTCCCTCATGCTCCCCTCCAGCTCTATCGCTGGACCTTCTCCCCGGGTTCCCAGGGCAAGGCTGCCTATAATGGCACCTTCTGAACTCCCAGAGCAGAGCGTGGGGCACATGAGGCGCCCGGACCCAGAGCATGACCTGATGGGGAGCATCTTCAGGATCATTCTCCTCCTAGGTCCTCAGTGCGCTTGACTTTGAGGAAGGGATTCAGAAGCAGCTGTCCCGGGGCCATGGAAACAGCTGAGGGTCTAGATTCCGGCAGAGCCTCTCCTGGCCAATGTCAAGACTGTCTCTTCTTGTCCAGTCCTCCGCCCTCTGCTTAACTATCCTCGCCTGCCAGTGGGGAACGAGGGGGCTGTTCGTTTCACAGCCAATAGGCAGGTCCCACATGCCTCCCACGTGGAGCCGCTCTGGATTCCCTGGTGAGTTCTGCCTGCACCAGGGGGACATGCACCGGGGATGACAAGGGACTGAACACAACCTACCGAAATGCAGGTGAGACTGTGACCCGGGCCAGTCTGAATGAGGACCAGGGGAGCCCAGGAGGGGGCATGATTTCCTCCAGAAGACGGCACCGCTGAGGTGGCCTTGGAGCTGGGATTCTAGCAGATCATTAACAACTGGCAGACGGTCCTCCGGATTGGGCGGGCAACACTTCTCAGCACTTCCAAGGCAGAAGAGCTTGTCTGCAGTCAGGAGCTGGGTGGTGCTGGACCATATGCTGCCAGCACACTGATGGGGGTCAGGGGCTTAGACGCATCCATGCCTCGTCCTCCCCCGGTGCCCCAGATCCAGCTCTGGTTCATTCTCCTGTCCCTTCTAAACCTCCCCGCTACGCACTGCTTTCCCTTTGCCACCTCAGCAATAGCAGCATCCCATCCGAGGCACATTTTCAATAGATGCCAAAGTAGAGAAGACGATGCCTTTCTACCACCTGAATTCAACACTTTTCAACTCATAGCCAGCCTTGTTGTATCTACAACTACCCCCACCTTCCAAACTCCCCCCTCAGACATCGTATCATCTCATCCGTAAATACTCCAGAAGGTTTCTCAGTAAGACCAGAGTTTGTTTTTTGAGCACAAATCTACGAAACCCATTCCTTTCAAAAACGATATCAATTCCCGATGAATATCAGATATCCAGTCAGTGATCCCGCAGTCTGGATTTTGTTGATCGCATCCCCAAGATGTCCCTTAATATGTTTCTCTGTCCTTTGAAATTCCTGCGAGTTCATATTTAGATCTAGAGGCTTGGGGCGCCTGGGTGGCGCAGTCGGTTAAGCGTCTGACTTCAGCCAGGTCACGATCTCACGGTCCGTGAGTTCGAGCCCCGCGTCAGGCTCTGGGCTGATGGCTCAGAGCCTGGAGCCTGTTTCCGATTCTGTGTCTTCCTCTCTCTCTGCCCCTCCCCCGTTCATGCTCTGTCTCTCTCTGTCCCCAAAATAAATAAACGTTGAAAAAAAAATTTTTTTAGATCTAGAGGCTTAATCCAATTCAAGCATGATTGTTTTTGGCCAGAAACACCAAAAGTGGCGGTGTTCTTTCCACGAGGAGGTATATGGTTATCTACCTGGTTAGCTCTTCTTGGGATATTATTAGGCACTGGGGCCAGATCCATTCATCCGAGAGAGGCTGGCACACGGTGATGTTCTAATTCTACAGCTCCTTCTTCAGTTATTAGCTAGAAGGCTTCTGAAAGGAGAAACTTCATATGGGAAAAGCAGAAGGAATGCTTGAGAATGCTGGATATTTTCCTTTCTTAGACACGTTTCCCAAAGAATGAACTCCTCCAAAAGTGGCCAGTGAGTGTCTTACTTTTAGCATTGTGACAAAGGCCTGGAGTTCAACATATCTGATGTATTTTAATCCATTGCGATCAATCCCCTGCAGCTATTACCCTAATTGATGTTTGCATTGTCTCGTCTCCGGCCGGTAGGAACCACTTTGGCTCCTGTGTCCACTTTGATGGTATCCTTGCTTTCTGATGTGACATGTTCCAGGCTCATCTTGTACATTCATCTCACTCCTGCTTATTTCAATAGAAGGTCCCCTGACCCCAGCCTCCAATCTGTCTGTGTCTTCACTGCAGCTAGATGAATCTTTCCTTAAATTAATTTTAGCTCTGCTGCTGTTCTTGGGAGGCAATGTGCTACAGGGAACAGACAGGAGCTTTGGGAACTGGGGGAAAGTGAGTTTGGAACTGGCCACATCAGTTACCGGCTGCACCACCCTGAGCTGGTAATACCATCTAGCTGAGCCTCGGTTGCCTCATTGGTAAAACTAGGAATAATATTTTCTTGCCTTACAGGACTCTGGTGAAGGGTAAATAAACGTAAAGTACCTGGCACAGAATCTGGTGACTAGAAAGCATGTCAATGTCCGTTCCTTTTCTTCTTGTCCTCTTCAAGAACCATCAATGGCTTCTAATGTCCACCCCATTGTGGAGACTTTCAAGCCCCCTTCAGTCTGACCCGCCTTATCTGCCAGACCTTGTTGCTGCGACTGTTCTCCCGAACTACCTGCCATTCTGGTCCCACCAGCCTGCTGTCACCACTCACCAGAGCCACTAATGCCCTCAACCTTTATTTACACGGCCTCCTGTATCTTAAATGCCCCCATGCCCTTTCATTTATTCAAATCCTACCTGTCTGTGAAGACCCAGCTCAGATCCCTATACTTCCCCAACCCCTCCAAGCCTCACATTCTTCCCAACCCTTGAAAGGCTGCCTGCCCACACAAGTCTCACTGGGGGGCTACATCTATTATAGCCATTTTCACCCACCACCTACAGACTTGGACAGAATACACTTCAAGAACGGTTCTTTCTGCAGCTAAACTGGTCTGCACACAGATCCCTGGGTACATTATCTATGTGTGTGACTGTGACCATAGCAAAGACGCTAAGTTGCGTATGCGTACATGGGTGCGCACGTGTTTGCGTGTACACATGCATATATGTGTGTCTGAGTATGTGCACACACATGCCTGTGTGCACATGTGACCAACACCCTTCAGGAAGCCAGTGTCCTGGCCTGTCCTCTCTGACTCAGAATCACTCAGAGTCCCGGAGGCCCTGCCCCACCCTCAGACTTCAGCCAGGACGTGGGAGGACAACTGGACCCTGATTACAGAGATCCAGTGATGATCTCCTCGGGGACTTGGTTTTCTGAACCAGATGTGACCCCCATCCGGAGGAACATGGAGGAGAGCCATAAATGACTAGGGAAAGTTGCCCTGTCCAGACCTGACAGCCGGGTCCCAAACCAAAGATGATCTCAGTGCAGAACTTTTCCATGAAAGAGCCATCCTACAGAGCAGTGATGAGTCAGGACACTTGGCGAGATGGCCTCTGCTCCCCAGGCAGGATTACCCCAACTGCCCCAATGTGCCACAAAATCGGAGGGGGCTACATGACATGTGATGTCCACCTCCCTCCCTGGACCCTAGCGTCTGTCTCAGGCTGGTGCCCACAGGCAGATGGCGATCACTGCTGTGTAGGGGCAGGAGACAAAACGGAGCTGCAAGGGAAGTGGAAAAACCCCACCTGGGCTTTCTTGGGTCTTTAGGGTCTAAAACTCCTGCTTCTTCCCTCAGAAGGCATCACTCAGATAAAAGAGATCTAGCCAAAGCAGTGTTCAAGGCTCAGCTTTAAAAATCAAGAGCCCTGCAAGCAATTAAAGTGGAATTTCCCCGGGTGATAGGAGGGACAACTATGAAGAGGGGTTGGGCAGCATCCCAACGGGAAGACGGCTTCTGGAAGGATGGCAGGGGCCCGTCAGCACAGGAATGGCTACATTTCAAGTGGCCACCTGTCCCCTCTGAACCGAACCCACCTCTTGTGGTCCGGGAGCCATCAGGAAGACATCCTGGGCTGATGTGCCCCCAGGGGACGAAGGAAGTGGGCAGAATCCCTGGGGCTGGTAGCTCTGTGCCCAGCGGCATCGGAGAAGCAGGCTGCAGCATGGCTGGAGCAGAAATGAGACAACCCCGAATTATTCTGGAAGAAAGTGGCCTTTGGAATGAGTGTGGAGGGGTGTGCTCTTTCCACCAACTGAGTGTAAATGGGGTCTCAGGTTGTTTCATGGGGTGTTAAAGGCACGGTGTCACCCTCCCGACACTACTCTGGGGGAGCATGTGAGGACATCTGGGGGGGGCAGCAGAGTTTGGCTGGCAGGTGTTCACTGATTAACGGAAGCCACGCGGGGGTAAAGGCTCTTTGGAGCCGGCTGATGTGCGCCCCCGCTCTGATCTCAACCCCACTTCCAGGGCTTTGTGGGGGTGGAGAGCAGGGGGAGGAGGTTCCCAGCGAGGGACACGGCTCCGCTAATCACCACGTGCCATCACATAATCACATTTAATAGCAGCGCACAAAGCACCAGGTTGCATCTGAACATCAAACATCGGCTTGAAAATGCAGCCCCCCTTCCCTCCACGGGCTCGTCACAGCAGCAGCATCTGGGGGCGTGACGATGCGGCCCTGCCCCAGCTGCCAGCGCCCCCCGAGAGGCCCTGCACCCAGCCCTGTGTGCCCCTCGGAGCAGGGAGGTTTGCCCTCGCCCACCCTCCTGGGGACGGCCTGATTGAGGCCGCGGCTGGCGCATGCGCCTTTCGAACCTCCTGTGACTGCTATTTCTAACATATAAATAGAACGTGCTTTTGGTGCAGCTTTCTGGAGCAGGTCATGTGCGCAGGCTCTCTCCCCCCACGGCTCACCCTACACAGGCTGTTCGATGGGGGCCACTGAGAAGAGTCGGGGGCGCCCCTGGGCCAGGCCTCCCAGAGGCTCTGGACTCAGAGCCCTCCTCCCTGCTGTCAGCCTGGGAAATCCAAGCTCAGAACCGGCAGCGTAGGGCCCTCCTGCCGGGGTGCCCGCAAACTCTTTATTGTCAGCTTGCTTTCTTATTTCAGTCGTCTTTAAATGTGCCAAAGCTCCCCGCACCCCCACCCCCGCATTGCTTTTCTGCACTTATCCAGGGGAATGGAGCTCACAGTTACGGAGCTCACTGCCTGCCCCCCGCCGCCCACCCCGGGGCAGGTGCACAGAACCCCAGAAAGAACCAGGCGCCCTTTGTATTCTTAGGCAGCTCCCTTCAACCTTATTTCTTCCTGGTTCTTATTTTTTTCAGCCTAATCTCCCCTCGTTTTTCAGGCTCCGTCAAAGGGATGAGTTCCATGAAACCCCCTGTTAGCATTTTATTTTCCTCATAGACATCCCTTTCCTTTTCACTCAGTGCCCATTGGGTGCAAAGCCCCGGACAGGGGGCCCCGAGGATCTGCATTGAGCACAGCAGATGGCGGGGCCTCGCGATGACCTTCGTGGTCATTAATATTAAATCAAAGATTAATATTAAAATTTATATTAAATTAATATTAAAAAGTATATTTTATGACTCTGTTGGCACAAAGATGAATACATGAATAGCATATATGACAGCATTTTCTTCTACCTAAAAGTTCATCTGTTTCTTCCGATTTTAAAAGAAGTGAAAATTAAACCTTATCTGGGGCCCCTGAAGGTGTCCTGGATCACAGACACTGAGCCTGATGGATCCTGCAGCCCCAACAGACCGGTGGCACCTGCTTCAGGGACCCCACGTCTGGTTTACAGCAGAAGCGGCACACGGAATGTTCTGGGCAGCTATTAGAAACCCCGCAGCCCAAGGGCACTCAAACCTCAGGATGGGACCCAGACCAGCTGTACTTTTTAAAGGCTCCCCAAGTGGGGCGCCTGGGTGGCTCAGTCGGTTAAGCATCCGACTTCAGCTCAGGTCATGATCTCACAGCTTGTGAGTTTGAGCCCCACGTCGGGCTCTGTGCTGACAGCTCAGAGCCTGGAGCCTCTTCAGATTCTGTGTCTTTCTCTCTCTCTCTGCCCCTCCCCTGCTCACATGCTGTCTCTCTCTGTCTCTCAAAAATAAATAAACATTAAAAAAAAAGAGAAATTAATAAAGGCTCCCCAAGTGATTAAAATGTGAGGTCAAGGTTGTATGTAAATCAACGGTCCTCAGCCCTACCTGCCCAACAGAATTACCGAGGAGCTTTTTTTTTTTTTTAAACAACCCAGAAAGAAGGTCCTGGGCACCACTGTTTTTAAAGCCCCCGGTGATCCTAAGGGCGATGGGTTGAGAGTGGTGGGTCCAGGGTCTGCTGGGCCTCCACCTCGGCCTGTCCTGTCCACCCCTGTGGGATCACTGTCCCCGGCCTTCTGTCATGTGGTTTCTGCCAGACCTGCCTCTGGGCTGGGACACAGAAGGTTAAAGAAGGCAGGGTCAAGGTGGGGGGGGGGGGGGTGAGAGAGAGAGAGAGGGTGAGAGGCTGGAAGGGGTGAGGTAGAGGGGCTGCTCTGTGACCAGGGGGCTGGAGCTCTTGTGTCACCAGGACTCCAGGTGCTACTGCCCCTCCGAAGAGCCCCACTCCCAGGTGACACCTCCGAGGCACTAGTCTTGGGCTTCTTGATGAGGAGCCTGAGGACAGGGTGGGACTCAGACTCCCAGGAGCAGGCTGGAATGCGGAGACAGCAGGGCAGGGGGGGGGGGGGGGGCCAAGGAGAGATGCCTAAGGGGGAAACGCACCTGTGTGATAGTTCAAGGACCCCTCGGGGTGTCAGCATGTACCCCCGGCCGGCGCCCAAGGTGAACATGGGCGCGTACTTCACTCATCCGTGCGGGAGCCTCAGCAAGGAGGGCTGTACAGAGCATGAGATCATCACTCTGAACCCCAAGTCCGGTGCAGCCGCTGGACTAGAGACGTCTCCTCTAGAACATGGACCCCTCGAGAGCAGGCACTTGGTCTCTCTTTTTAAAAAGAGGGAAAAAAAAAAAAGAAAAGAAAAAAAAGAGAAAAAGAAAAATTGTGTTAAAATACACATAACATAAAATTTACTATTTTAACCGTTTTGAAGTCCAGCACCATTAACTGCATTCCCAGTGCTGTGCCACCATCACCACCATCTATCTCCAGAAGTTTCTCATCTTCCCAAACTGAAACTCTGCCCCCATTAAACACAAACTCCGTGTTCTCCCATCCCCAAGCCCCTGGAAGCCACTGTCTCTGTGAACGTGACTATCAGTACCTCATGTGAGTGGGATCATACAGCGTTCGTCTGTTTGTGCCTGGATTATTTCACTTAGCGTCTGTCCCCAGCATCCATCCACGTGGCGGCCCGTGACAGGGTTTCCTTCTTCTTTAAGGCTGAATAATATTGCACTGCGTGTATAAATCGCCCTTTGATTCTCCAGGGGACTTTGTCTCTTTTGTCCACCGCTATCTCACAGCACCTAGAACCTTGCTGGCATTTCGGGCGTGTGCAAATAAGTGTTGAAAGAATGGTTTAAGTGAAATAATCCACTTAAATTTTTTTTTAATGAAAAAAAAATGTTTATTCATTTTTGAGAGAGACAGAGAGAGCACAAGCAAGGGAAAAGGAGAGAGAGAGAGGGAGACACAGAATCTGAAACAGGCTCCAGGCTCCGAGCTGTCAGCACAGAGCCTGACGCGGGGCTCGAACTCGGAAACGGCAAGATCATGACCTGAGCCAAAGTTGGAGGCTTAACCGACTGAGCCACCCAGGCGCCCAGCTGGCATTTTAAATAGGTCATTTCTCATCATACTAGAGAGCGCCCTCACCACTTCCCCTCGGAACAAATTCCAGGAGATTCGGGTTATTCTCCCTGAAGGTGGTCAGCTGGCAGCCCCCGGGGCCCGTTTTCTCGGCCCGTTTTCTGCGCACAGACCCAGGCCCCGAGATGGTGCCACCGTCTGAGGGCATCAGCTCCAACGCAGAGGGAGGCCGCGGGCTGGTGAGATCTTATTTAGGAGGTTAGCAGGAGGCAGTGCAGGAAAGGCTGTTATGTCTTTCCACAGAACATTCCAGAACCTTTAACCCTCCGCTGGAGCTTCGTGGCCCAGAGTTTGATGGGGGCCGCTCTATCTTTTCCTGTCAGATTTAGACAGCTCAGCACGGCGCCCTTTCGACATGAAGTAATAATTGTCAGAGCGGGTCAGGGCTTCACCAGCTGAGAAAACACCAGAGTGACCCTCGAAAGGAAGGCCGAATCGGGACACAGCCCATTAGCGGGTCAGAGGAGCTCCCCCGCTGACATTTGCGTTGACGCTCCCTCATCCAGAAATCTGACGTGGGAGACACCCTCTGTGCAGTCACCTTGACGGGGGCACGTGCGAGCTGTCCCTCAGAGTGGCGCTCAGCAGACGGTCTTAAATGCCACGGTAAAAAAACAAAAGAAGGCATCTCACGGTTATTTTTGCCTTAATACAAAAGGAATAAATAACCATAGAAATGGTGGAGAAAACCACACAGATGGATTCAGTCCTCTGGGATTTCACCCCAAAAGGTGAGAGCTGCTCCCACTTTAGCACAGAGTCCTCCAGTATTTGTCGATGCCTATATACGTATACACGTGTGTGTATGTAGGGTGGGTATACACCTGTGTAAGTGTGTGCACATGTGTGTATGTGTCTGAGCACGCGTATGGGTGTATATGCATGTGCGCATGTGTGTATACATATACCTATGTATGTGTATATGATGTATTGCGTATATATGTGTATATGTACGTGTTTGTATGTGTGCGTATGTGTATACATGTATGTGTGCACATGCCTGTATACAAGCATGTGTGTCCATCTGTGCATATGCGTACAGATGTGTCTGTGTGTATATGTATATGCATGCAGTGGTATTTTTATGAACACTTTGTAACAAAAGTCAATCACCAATATAAAAAAAGAGGCTTATGAGACCAAATACATTTTAATATCTAAAGTTTCAAAAATGTTTGTAGACATTTTTCATATTTTTCTACCTGCAGCATTTCCAAACTGTGTTCCACAAAACAAATGCATGCATTAAAATAAAAGCTAGGGGGGTGGTGCCTGGGTGGCTCAGTCATTTGGGTGTCTGACTTTGGCTCAGGTCATGATCTCATGGTTTGTGGGTTTGAGCCCACATCAGGCTCTGTGCTCACAGCTCGGAGCCCGGAGCCTGCTTCGGATTCTGTGTCTCATTCTCTCTCTGCTCCTCCCCCACCTGTACTCTGTCAAAAATAAATACGTGTAAAAAAAAATTTTTTTTTTAATTTAAAATAACAGCTGGGACGTGCTACAGAGTGCAGCAGGAGAAGCAGGGAGGCAAAAAAAAAAAAACAAAAAAACAAAAAAAAAACCCCTCAAAACCCAGAACCAGGAACATGGTTGCTAAACATGGTCTAACCAGCACTGTCGACCACAGGCCACTTTTTTTCTCAAGAACACCGATACATGCTGATCTACATAATAAGGAGAATCATATTTTCTCACGCCCTTCCTGAAGCCAGTGTACAAATCCTTTCTAATCCTTTTGGGTCTGAGGGGAGGCCAGTCCAGCACCGCTGGGGGAATCCTGAGAGCAAAAAGGATGAGGAAAGTGGCAGACGAGTATCTGTCGGCTGTGATCCGACATAGCTCAGCAATAACTTCGCTACACCTTCTTCCCAACCCCTCCTGGGTGAGGGATGAGGCGGCTGACAGGGAAGGAGCTAAAGCCCTCGGTTCTCTCGTATGTGAGGAGACTATCCCGGCCCCACCGATTTCTCACTCTCTTATTCTAACCAAACAATGGGAAAGGGTAGGAGGGGGGTTGACAGGCAGGAGGAGGAAGGAGAAGTTCAGGAATCTTTTTCTGTTAAACGAACAGCTTTGCTCTTTCTCTCTCTCTCTCTTTTTTAATAAAATTAGGGTACCGTTTTAATAAAAACAGGGTACCATTTGCTTTTGTAACTGGTTTTTTTCACTTAAGGTATTGTGAAAACTTTTTTTAAAAAGGAATTAAAACAGTGTTTTAAAACATAATATTAGGGGCACTCGGGTGGCTCAGTCGACTGAGCGTCCGACTTCGGCTCAGGTCATGATCTCACCGTCCGTGGGTTCAAGCCCCGCATTGCGCTCTGCGCTGACGGCTCAGGGCCTGGAACCTGCCTCGGATTCTGTGTCTCCCTCTCTGCCCCTCCCCTGCTCGCACTCTGTCTCTCTCAATCTCAAAAATAAAGAAACAGTATTAAAAACCACATAATGTTACATTACTCCATATAATTTTACCTTGTGGATAAATACCACAATCTTTACCCCGTATGCCCGTTACTGATTTCCTGTCAGTCAGTACTTCGGTACACCCTGCAGTACCTGCTCTGTGGTAACAGGCCAGACCCCAGCATTTCCCCTTTGTAGTGAGGGTAATGTTAAGCTTTGCCAGTAGAGGGCGTGAGAGGGACACTGCAGAAGGAGGTCAGCCTCCCTTCCTCATTCAGCGAGTGAAGCCGGGTTCCAGCCCGGTGCACAGGCCCCCCGGAAGTGTGCTCCAGGACTCACATGGGCAGCAGTGGCCCCTCTGCACCCACCTAGAAGTCCCTGCTCACCTATATCCTGGAGGATGACCTGGGGACATGGACCAGCTCTGACCGGAGCTACCAGCGAATTTCCGTACCATCCGGTGATCCCCAACCACACCTGTTCAATGAAAGGTGAACTCCCTTCCAAGCCCTTCTTAAGGGGCCTCCCCCAACCCTAGGACACCCTTGAGAGTTCTTGTTCCATCTTCATTCCATCTTTACTCTTCTATCACTAACTTCCCTTGCTTAAATTATTGTGTGGTTTCTGTCTCCTGATTGGACCCAGACTGAAACAACCCAGCAAGCACCATGCTTTAAGCACTATTTTTGAAGCATTTTAATTTGCAGTTGGGCACAAGGAAAGGATAGTGTGAGAGACGTGTCTATTCAAACAGCAAATGTGTACTGAGCAGATCTACTATATCTACTATGAACAACTGGGCCGCAGACATGGGCGGTTAGAGAAGAGTAACATTTACTAACCCTGGGTTATGAGAACTCACTCACTGTCACAATAGCCGGTGGGCAGGCAGGGTGACAGGCGAGAACGAGGCACACGTGGGTGAAGTCACTGCTCCAGGGCTCACGGCTGGTGTGGAATTCACGCCTGGCCATATGCCTCTGCCCACTCCTCCTGCTGCCCAAGATGGCACAAATGTGATTGTTCAGACTTCTTTGTCTGTGAGTACGGGAGTTCTAGACAGAACAGAGAGAGAAAAAATAGAATTTGGGGCAGAGGACATGAAAGACTCAGAGAATTTAGAAACAGATCCCATGAGGCAAAATGAGAAGATAGTGATTCTGGAAAGTTCTGTGGCCATGTTTGTCGATTCTACTCAGAGAAGGAGTGGCAGTTCTCCCTGAAGAGATAGAGAGAGAGAGACGGGGGGCAGCCCACTCTGTGCAGGACAGGGACCCTGCAACCTCATTATTAAGACAGTCTTGATTTTAGGGGCACCTGGGTGGCTCAGTCAGCTGAGTGTCTGACTTCGGCTCAGGTCATGATCTCGCGGTTCATGGATTCAAGCTCCGCATTGGGCTCTGTGCTGATGGCTCGGAGCCTGGAGCCTGTTTTGGATTCTATGTTCACCCTCTCTCTCTGCCCCTACCCCACTCTCTCTCTCTCTCTCTCTCTGTCTGTCTCTCTCGAAAAATAAACATTAAAAAATTTTAATAAAAAAAATAAAAAAGACAGTCTTGATTTTATATTTTTCTACCCTTTTCAATGTATACTGTAAAGTGAATGACCTGATGTAAGTTAGCCTTTATGCTTTTGCGTGAACCTTCAGGTAAACACCTTCGCACTTCAGCAATAACGTCCTCATTCTGGACTTGGGGGACACGGCCTGCTGTATCCCAGGGGCAACTCGATTTTTCTGTGACTAGGCCAGTTTCTAGCAGAAAAGAGACAAACCCTGGCTATGGCTAGTTTTTCTGCTTGGAGAAGGTAAGGCTGGGCCTGGAGGAAGGGGAGAGAAAACTCTCGTGGAAACTAAGCAGGAACAGAGGGGGAAACCAAGGCGAGATCAGAGAATGCAGGCCACCGCTGCCTCCACTGACTCCACCCCCCGAGGCCATTTCAACCTCACGGAGCAGCGGGTGGAGACCCGGACACCCTCAGATGGACAGAGAGAAGCCCTCGCTTTCTAATGAAGACGAGACTGAGCTGAACAAGGCTAGGTTCCTCAGGCACCAGGGCACATTTGTCAGCTGAGGCTGCCATAACAAAGCACCAGCTTCATCACGGAACCTACAGTCTCACAGTTCTGGAAGCCTAAGGCCAAGATCAAGGTGTGGGCAGGGCTGGGTCCCTCTGCGAGCAAGGAGAGAATCCCGTCCAAGAGTCTCTGGCGGTGTGCTGGCAACCCCCTGGGGTTCCTTGACCTGCAGGTCCCCACCTGCGTGGTCACATGGCCTTCTCCCCCAGTGCGTGTCTGTCTCCCAATTTTACCATTCTTATAAGGACATCAGTCATGGAGAATTAGGGCTCACTCTAATGACCTCACATTAACTTGATGACCTCTGTAAAGATCTTACCTCCAAATCAGGCCACATTCGGAGGTACCCCGGGAGTTAGGACTTTGGCATAGGACTTAGGGCACAATTCAGTCCCTCACAAGGGGCACCAGTGGACCCGTCACCACTGTTACATAGAACACAAGGACTTATGCTATAAGGGGGGTCAATATTAGCAAGAAAGGGGTGTGCTGGCCCTGCTGGTGCTCTCGTTGGAAAATTCTGGGTCCAGAAATGGGACTTCCCCAGTTGTGTACACAGGATGGTGTGAGGTTGGGGCTGGAAACTTCTGAGAGGCAGATGGAAGGAGTGAGAAGGAGCCCCAGGAAGGCACATGGTGCACGGGGGAAAGAAGCCAAGGAGAGCTTTGAGGAGTGGATTGCACCTTCTCTGGGCTGTGTGTGTGTTTGTAATTGGTCAGTCGCACTCTGGCCCGTATAAAAGCATTATTGCCCCACTACGCTCATCCCTCCACTGTCCACTCCTCCGCTGTAGGAACACCTGGGACCTGGGGGGGACAGCAGTGAAGAGCAGTGGTCTCCAAGCTTTGTAGATCAAGCACCCCGCCATTTGCAAATGCCTGGTGAGCACTTCCATATTGTATATTTACTTATAAATTAACTATATTCACTACTGCACTGATGATGGTGCCCACATTAGCAAACATGCACCCAAGAGAAATGCCTACAGGATGAGGTAAAAATAAATGCAGATGAACATTCCGGCACTGTCTTCCTGCATTCCGATGGGCCATCCTGACCCCACCCCCACCGCAAGATGCAGGGTCCCAATTCGGAAATCCCTAGTTTCCAAGCTATACTGATCCTGCATGAGACTCGGTCCACCCATGGTTGTTCTTGTCATGTCATGGCCAGCTTTTCATTTCCTTTCAGGAGTCTGTGTTGGACCCCTATGATGTGGACCCAGGGTCAAGAAGGTTGGTGAGAAAGCTCTCTCAATTACAGTCTTGGGCACAGCTTCCTAGTGTAGAGCACGGCCATTTGAACACCTGCTTTGTCGGCTTTGCAAAGACTAAATGAGAAAATGCACATGAGTCACTTAAAAAAATAACACTGTAAAATGGCTGTTCAATAATGGTGGTTGTCTATTATTATTGCTATCATTACCAACCACAGGGCAATTGGGAATCTGGATTGGAATGGCCATCTAGAAGAAGGGACATCACTCCAGCTAAAGCCCTTATCCCTGATCTGACTTAAACCATGAGCTACGCAATAAGATTTGAGCCACAGAAAATGTCTCATTTCTTGGACAGCAGAGATTTAAGGAAAAATACCCTGGGGTGAGCTCTTACCCCAAGGGTTGGCTAGGTGGGGTAGAAAAGTTAATTGCCCCAGTATCCATTTTCCCCTTCCTCCTTCTAATAACAGAAACCCTTGAATTTGGCTGCGCACATGGCATCCCAGTTAGAAATTACATTTCCTAGGTTCTCGTGCGCATGGTTATGACCGGAGGGTTAAATGTTGGCCAACAGACTGTGGGCACAAGTTATTTGTTCAAGTGACAGGTTATTGTCATAAAGAAGTTCTCTGCCCTCCATTTCCTCCTGTTCTGGCTTAGTCTGGACTGGAAGGCAGAGGCCATGGAATGAGTCAAATTCGACCCCTCGGTCACAGACAGCAAGCTCGGGGACTGGTTGAGCAATGGCGGATGAGGCCCTGGAGCCCCTGATGGCCTTGTGGAGCAGAGCTCCCTGAGTACCTGTGTCCCGTCTGGGCTTCTGTGTGGGAGAGAGCTGCGATTTCACCTTCCTTGAGCCCTTGTTGCCTGGGCTCTTGTGTTACAGCATCTGTCATGTGTCCTAACTAGTCGTGTGCCATCATAGTGAAAACTCAATCACACGGCCCCGTGTTAGCACTTGGGTGGCAGGCGGGAAGAAAGCCACGTTGAGGCTGGAGAGCCGCGGAGCTGCATTACTTATGTGGCGGAATACTTGGCAAATCAGTTGCCTTCAATAACTCGGAGAATGGACCAGGCACCTAGACAGCCTGGAGTTCTAGGAAAACCAATTCTTAAAATGGGTGTGGGGCACGTGGGCGGCTCAGTTGGTTGAACATCCAACTTCACCTCGGGCCACAATGTCGCAGTTTGTGATCGAGCCCCGTGTCAGGCTCTATGCTGATAGCATGGAGCCCGCTTCAGATTCTCTCTCTCTCTCTATGTCTCTCTCTCTGTCCCTCCTGCGTGCTCTCTCTCTGTCTCAAAATAAATAAATAAACATTTTAAAAAATTTAAAAAAGAAAAGAAAAGAAAGCCATGTTAAAAGGAGGAAGAGAGGCAGTGTAAATCGTTCAATAAAAGAGGATCCAGGGGCGACCTGAAGGGTGGTGTCCAAGAGAGACTTTTGAACAGACTGTGTGCCTGTGGAATGAACCGGAAGCAGACAGACTGAAAGTATACGGGGGTCATTAAGTTTGGGGTGGGGGGCAACAGTGTCATCATTGGTTCCCTAAAGAAGCCCTGAGATCCTCCACCCGCAGTGGCAGTGGGAGACTCCTCAGTCTGGCTCACGACTGCGTCTTGGGTGATGAGGAACACAGAGACAAGGGAAATCTTACATCTCCAAATCTCCTTACCGCTTGTAACCCACTGACAGACACCTGGAACACACAGATCGTGAGCTTCCTGGAGGAACTCACGGCGGCCTTGCTGCCTTACTTTTCCTGTTTCAC